TGGCAGGGCCAGGGTTAAAGCTTTGCTCTGAACGCGTTACAGACGTTCATGGCCTTCGGTGCTGTCGTGCAGGGCGGTGCTTTGAGGCAGAGGAGGGTTGTCAGTTCAGCGCTGATGCCCCCGGTAACCTCTGAGCTGCCGGTGTCACAGCTCAGCCCTCAGCGTTAGGGGAGGGAGATGAACCGGTCACTCTTTGCCGGGGACCCTCTCTCTTTGCCGGGGACCCTCTCTCTTTGCCGGGGACCCTCTCTCTTTGCCGGTGACACTCTTTACCAGTTGCTTGCATGTGCCTTTGAAAGGAAGTTACTGCTAGTCAGGTTCTTTGCTGTAGGCAGATCCAGGTGCTGCAACACGTATACGTAAAGTATATTCCTAAAAGACTGTACACAAGCACTCTGCTTGAAGCTGATGTGACCACACACTGATATATTTGCTGGTTCTTTTTTTATTATTATTTTTTTAAGTTTAGGATTTTTCAGCATCACAGCAATGGGATGTTTACATTTGTGTAGGAAGCACGTGACCGGCTTTAAAATGTAGTATACCTAATGTTTCTACATTAAGGTTTTAAATGTAGTATACCTATTGTTTCTAAGGTGTATTGCACATTTTTGGAAAACTAACATGTGGAAGCTTGTTTGGGGGTTTAACTTCTGAATGGAACATGATATCTGAAGTCAGGTGCATGTATCCTCTTTAATAATTCATCCTGCCTAACCAAAAATATAATTAGGATTGTTTTGTGCATCAGTCTGTATGTCACACCAATATGTGCTGTGCTAGTTTCTTGCAAGAATCTTGTTCATCTACTCAGAAGTGGTTTTGTGGTACTAATAGCTTTTTGTTTACTGGAAGATTGATATGACATCTCTTCCCATCACCACTACAATTCCTTTTTTGTTTTCACATGTGCATCTACAGCCAAATACTGTTTCCATTGTGGTATAGCTAAGGCCTGAGAAGTTCCATCAATTTACCCTAACACTACCATTCTGCAGGTTGTTGTAGGGCTTTAATGAAGTTTTATTTGAGCAGTCTACTTAGTTGAGCTTTGATTTGTTTAATTTGTTGATTTGAGAGATGACTGGCATCCAAAGCCAATCATGTTTCCCATTTCATACAAAGCCTTAAAAATAAAGCTTTTCTTATAATGACTTTTTTTTTTTTTCCAGGTAGTATTTGAAGTACGTGCAATCTGATGTTTGTTTGGTTTTTTATTTCTTTTTGTTGTTTTTTTTTCTTTTTAGTAATAGCAGAATATGTAATCTCATTGTTACCCTGCTTAGTTAGGGTACTTCATTTGATGCTGTCTGAGAATCTACAAGTTGTACTATAAGTTATCTCTGTTGGAAAAGTAATTATTCCTTTCCCTGCTCTTCCTCCCGCACCCCTAAACAGTATAACAATAAATTCTGGATTTGTTCATCGCTTCACATCCCAAGTTCCTGTCCAGTATTTAGATTTCCCTACTGGCTAATAATTCAAAGTGAAGATAGCCTCAGTACTGGGTAATCTAAAGATATGGAAACAGAATAGTATTTTTACTATGGATAAAATAACTTTTGTTTTATTTATTTTTTTCTCTCCCCTTCACCTCCTTTTTTTTTTTTTTTTTTTTTTTAATTTTCTTCCCTCCCCACATAGAGGAAGTCTGGAAGGGAAAAGAGAACAGAAGAGTTACAAAGCTCTCTTAGAAGATCCAATGCTGAAGTTCTCGGGACTGTATCAAGAAACTTGCTCTGACTTGTATGTAACTTGTCAGGTGTTTGCAGAAGGGAAACCTCTTGCTCTTCCAGTTAGAACTTCCTACAAGGCTTTTAGCACTAGATGGAAGTAAGTGACTAGCTTTTATTTCATATTCCTCTTAGGTACTGGGCCATCAAGTTATCTAAATAAATCTGGGGCTTTTTATGTATGTCAAAAAGATTTATTTTCTGTTATCTTCTTCAAATAACTTATGTTTCTGAAGTCTTTGTGTGGTTATTAAGTGTCACCCTGACTGCACAAAACCAAGCTTTTTATGTAATGGGTAAGTAATAAAATTATTACTGGTGTGTTTGGGAATGGCTGTCTACTTAAATAACTTCTGGGGCCTGGACTAGCACACTTTGATACTATTTACTGGACAGACTGATCTTTGGTACTTAGTCATCAAGCTAGAGTATTTTTCCTTTGCTCTCTAGCCTTTTAGTCGTGCTCAAGACAAGTATTTGAATGTTAAATCCCAGAGCAAAATAGTCCATCTGCCCTTAGAGATGCATATTCTAGGGAGAATGTGGGTTGTATTTTAGGGAGAATCTGGATTGTATAAACTTGAATTCTGAAGCTTTATGGCTGACACAGTGTGTTTCTCTCCAGCTGGAATGAATGGCTGAAACTGCCTGTGAAGTATCCAGACTTGCCTCGCAATGCACAGGTAGCTCTGACCATCTGGGATGTGTATGGACCTGGTAAAGCAGTTCCTGTGGGAGGAACAACAGTCTCACTCTTCGGGAAATATGGGTATACTGCTTTTTTTTCTATGGTACAGGTTACGAGAGTGCTGGAAAGTGACAATACATCAGAAGGATCTTGACTAAGTGCAAAGTGGACTGGAGAAAAAAAAAAAGGGATCCAGTTTAAGGAAAAGTATGAGGTGCTGGTACATTTTGCAATTGATTGTAGTCAAATACAGAATGGGGAGCACCTGCCCAGGAAAACAGAGGAAAAGATTTGGGTTTTAGAATGAATCAAGTTTTGCATGATTCAGTATTGTGATGCTTTTGTGAAATGTGCAAACGACTTTGAATATATAGACAGTCTGCTAGTACCAGTACATCAGGGACAACGTTGTATCCTCCTTCTCTACACTTGTCCACTCAACTGGGATATGTTCAGTTCTGTATAACTTAGAGCAGTTAAGGGAGTCTGTATCATTGAACATCTAGCAAACAGATGTGATGGAGGAGGAGTAAAGACTAATGAAGCTGAAGAAAAGACTATAGGAATGCTTTTCTTCTATGTAGATAGTGTTGTAAAATGGGGAGGAATAGCCTTTTTTGTCTTGTCTGTGGGTAAGAAATAGTAAGGCTAAACTAAAGTTCAGGAAAATAGTTTACCGTTAGGAAGGCTGTTCCAGGGATACTTGAATGCAGAAGATGACTGTAAACAGAGGATGCAATCACTGAAGATACTGATTTGACAAGAAGTTTGACATTATCTTAGGGCAGAAAGTTGAAGAGGATCAATTGGACAGTGCCCCAAAGATTGCTGGTAGCTTTTAAAGCATTAGAGTATAGTTCCTGGAAAAAGATAAAATTTATAAATGAAATTTACTTTTCTTTCCAGCATGTGGGGCCTGGGGGAAGTAGATGGACAGAAAACAACAAATAATTTTGGGAGTTTTGTATTTGCTTGTAAATAGAAACCATTGTAGTAGTAGTATTTGAGAAAGTGATGTATAAATTCAAGGTCAGATCATCCTTCTAGTCAGTATTTCTCATTTTTAGTGGTTAACTATTTCCTTCCAGGTGTATTTACCTTAAGTCGTTAGTGTTAAGTGAGTACCTCTTATTGGCAAAAGTAATACACTTGATTTCTTGGGGAACATTTTATAAGTAGCTCAGCACAAATACACCAGGGAGACAAGGTTTTGCAGAGAATAGGTGTGGTCAGTTACCCTACAAAGTTCTGTTCGCTGCACAGTTTCAATTACCAATTCAATTTCAAGCGTAGGTGGAGAAAATGGTATGTTGAGGGTTGTGCACTTTTTTAAACTTATTTGACAGCTCAGACTGCTTTATATCATTTGACCTTCAACTGAAACTTTGCTATTTTTTTAGTTGAGTTTTTTTCAGACTGGCAGACCTAAGGTCAGTATTATAATTTGCAAGTTAAAGGAATACTTTCTACTTCATTACAAATAATAAAACTATGAAGGTGAAACTCTGTCCTCAGTTTGCATGTGTACCACCCCACTAACTTTGGGAATTACCCATTTTTCTTCCACTTGCCAAGTAAGTTATCTCAGTCTTACTTCTTTTCTTTTAAACTCCATGTGTCAATAAAAATGAAGGCTGTAGAGGGTACAATGTGAGAGGCATCTCTGCAGTTCAGTTAAATTATGCATGGCAGTGCATGTGTGTAGGTTTGGCAAAGGAAGCTACTTAATTTTCTTGCAGCTGCTGCAGTACTTTTGATTCCTGACAGCTGTATTATTTTGAATTTACTGAAGCGATTCTACTTTCTTTTCCCTGCAGTATGTTTCGTCAAGGAATGCACGACTTGAAAGTCTGGCCCAATGTAGAAGCTGATGGCTCAGAGCCCACCAGAACTCCTGGGAGAACCAGCAGCACAGTCTCTGAAGATCAAATGAGCCGATTGGCAAAGGTAATGGAACAGAACAGTCTGGTTTCTTTCACTATCCATCCCTTAGATTTAAGGCTGTCTAGTGTAGTGTTTGGATGTCTGTGACATATAGAAAGGCTTTGAGTAGAACTGCAAAAATTAACCACAGTTTCAATGCATTTTAACTCATTAATATGTTCGTATATTAGTATTTTCTTCTCCCAGCTTGATGGCAGAGTGTAATTTTGCCACCAAAACTACTTCTGGAATTGATCAGTAAATACCAGTTCTTGAACTGTTTTACTAGCTGATCTCTCATTCTTCAGGTAAGCTTATGCCAAGCTTGCTGAATCACTCAGCCCACTTAATGTACTTCCTTCTTAATCTTGGTATCCTCGTTTTCATCTTCACCTTTGAGCAACTCCCAGTGAAAGATAGCTCCAGTGCCATAAATATGTCAATTTTCTCATCTAGTGATTTATCACAGCAATAAACTAAGTTTCATTTAAGGTCTCTCATTAGTGTAGTTCATCTTGAATTTATAATGGAAAACTCATTAAATCTTTCTGCCAGTGGTGGTGCCCCCTTTCTTTATCAGTAGTAGAGTAAGTCCCCTCTGGCCTGAGGGGGCATTAGATGCCAAGGCTTGTTTATAGTTCATCAGCTGGTTACATGGTGTAGGCAGTGAGTCTCTAAGAAGGGGTTTTAGAGTGTAGACCCTTTGCTTTCATGGTAGTTCTGTTATGCAAACATGACCATACCCCACCCATTTTTTTTCTCTCTTCCATTCACTCCCTTACAATCCCTAGCTCAAGGAATACAAATAATGTGGAGTATTCCAGTCTTAAAATACCTGTTCTAGCTTGTTCTTTTGGCATATGGGAGATGAGGGCTCAAAGCCTCTGAGAAAGATGGAATTCTCCTTTCATACCCCAATTGAGAGTTCTTGTTAATTGCTAATAAAAAGCTAACAACATCCCTGCCACTGTTCTCCTCTTCTGAAAGCTGTTCTGGGAGATACGAAGTTCTGGAAGATGAGAGTGTTTTCACTGATTCTTTGTGTTCATTTGTAAAAACATTTTACCATCAGATGCTAGCGAAATGAATAGGGTTTCTGGGTGGTGTGTCTGAGAGCTTTCATTTCCACCGCTGTATACACAGTGGATGAGGTTCTTGTATCATTCCTAAATAGGTGTTGTTTAGGCACAATCAGTTTTGGTTTTTGTTTTTTGTTTTTTGTTTTTTTTTCCTGTGACTTATTCATCAGTTGCTGACAGCCTCCTGATGCTAGTGTATATGAAGGTACATTTAAATATAGGTAAGAGGAGTAGGACTAATTAAATACAAGATGAGTTTGTGTGGAGTTTGCTATTCTTGGTTTGGTTTGGGTTTTTTTTTTCTTTTTATTGGGCAGACATCATTTATAAGTGTCATGCTATTGATTGATGTCCGATACCAGAGGCCAGATAAGAATTCTTCAGATAATAAGTAACTTGTGAGAAGACCTTGCTGAAGGACCTTTTCTTCATCTAAAATATAACTTTATTTTCTTGACATGCTTCTGAGTTTGTATGTGTGTTGTATTTATTATTATAGGGAATTTGTATAGAATCAGTGACTGGCTACTGGAAGAGTTACATCCTTTTACCCTAAATAATTTTACCTTAAATAGTTACCTTAAATATGGCAAGTCTCTTATTTCATCTTGAGGTGCTGTATGGTTGTGCTCTTACAAAACACATGAATGTTGCTTGTAAAATTGCTACTGATGAAAAAGCCGTGGCTTTGCATCCTGAGGGTCATTGTGAATACAGATTTTTCCTGTGCTAAGGAATACTAATGGGAAGAGTGTGGAATACCTTAGCACACTCAAATATTAATGATATTAATGATATTAAGATGCTTAGTTTCTAAGTGGTATGTTAATTTATTCTCCTTAAACAAAAAGTACTCTTAAGTTCTTTTTGATCCGTTCATTTCCCTGACATTTTCTGCTGGCTGAATGAAATTAGATAACAACAATGGTGAGATAGTATTTACAGTGATGCCTCTTATTTAGTAGCAGATTATGAGTGCTTCTTTCCCTGGAAGAATACACTAGCTTCTCTCTCATTTTAAGCCTTAAATATTAATCTAAGAGAACAGTTCTTCAGGTGTATATATATGACAACAGATCTTCTAGGTCTTGTATGCAGGCCTAACTGCAGTAGACCCGTAAACTGCTGTATTATGATTTTTTTCCTCTCTATAAGGGAGGTTTGCAGGCTTAAGAGATTAATAATTTTCCTCTAAAACACACAGAATGACTTTTTTCTTTATTCTTTAGTGCAGTGAACAAGAAAATGAACTACGAATTTGTGACCAAGGTATCTAAATAACAATTTTTTGCCAAGGCTTTGAATCAAAAGTGCTATCTTAAATCTGTGTGTCAATGGTGGATGTGAATATGTGGTGTTCTGACAATTCTGATGCATTGGTTTAAGGTAGTGGAAATAAGAGGGCTACCTTGAATAAGAAAAAAATATTTTTGTTATATTAAAAAGAAAAAAAGAGTAATTTAGACGTGGCTAAAATGGTGGACATGTAATGGTAAGGAATTTCTTCTTTGCTGAGAATGAGAAGACCTTTTCTGTAAACTGGATAGGACATTATGAATGCATCAAGTGATGATATCCAGCCTGCCTGACACAGCATTTTGGGCTATAACTGGTCTGCATGCTGCTGGTTCTCTTAGCTTTGAAATATATTATAAAGTCACATATGAGGCAAAGGCTTAGTCTTGTGTTATCCTTTTAGTACAGTCCTGGCATATTCTGTCTTTAATATTGCTGAGATAGAATTTGATGAACTGGCTGCAGAATATAAGATAAGATAGCAAAAAAAACCCTCCAAATTGTATTGTGCTCCTGTTTACAATCCTGCTGGTAAGTTGAAAAAAACTAAATTAGACTTTTTTTTCTGTGCTTTGGTTACATCCAGCATACAGAAATGTTATTAAAGATTACACTTTGGTACTGTAACAATATTGTACACCTTTTGTACTGTTAAGTTTCTGAGGTTTATTGAAACTAATCTGAATGTGAGGTGTCCCAGAGTTTACTGAAGACAAAACAAATAAAAAAAACCCCAAACAAAACAAGACAAAAAAACCCCACAAAAACCCAACACCTTACTATATACTGGAAAAAGTTAATAAATTCTTAATAGTTGCAGTGGTCTTCCAAAATTTACATCAAAACCTTATTACTCCTGTCAAGCTATACTGTGATCTAGAGCCTAAAGAAATGTTAGATGCATCAGCTGCTTCAAGCAATCTCATAGTCATTATGGGATTCTTTTTGTGCTTCATGGAACAGGTTTTGAACAATGGACATCAGATGCATGTGGCTAATTTACTACTTACAGTTTCTAGCAAATCTGGTTTGTGTTGTTGGTTTTATGGGGGTTTTTTGTTTGGTTTTTTTGGAAGACAGGATTTTCCTCCCAGCTGAATAGCTTTTTGACTGTTTTTAAGTTGTGACTGCTTTTGATTAGTCCTTTACCTTGACAAAGCCAGGATCGACAGTGGAGGATTAATATTCAGTGGAAAATTTTAAACCTTGTCTCTAGTAGACTTAGAAGGAACCAAGAATCAGAAAAACTGAATTAGATAACGTATTTGTGAAATAAGCTGGAATTGTCATTCAGAGCCAAATGTCATGCTTGCTTTCATAAGTAATCTGCCTTAAAATTTAATTCAAATCTTGTGCGGGTGTGGAGGTTCTGCTGTGGGCTGTAGTATATTCCAACTCTTTCTTACATAAACTGTTTCCAAGAAAACTAAATTAATTGGGAGTTTTGTTTCCTGCTTAGAGGTAGGAACCAGTATCCAAAGTGATGTTAGACTGTAACACCAAATTAAACTCTGGTGGAGGTGAATAAGAAGAAAAAAAAAAACAAACAAAAAACAAACCAATGAGCTTGTTTTAAACAGTAAGAAGTCAAATGAGACCTACTGATAGAGGAACACCTGCAAGGAGACTGCAGAACACTGAACTTTCATTTCATTAATGGTTTTAATGACTTTTCACAGTCTTTTGGAGACTAGACAGTTATTTGCCCGTTAAGTCCGCATTGCTTCTAAGAGATGTAAAAAGCTATTTGATTCTGCGTAATTTTTGAAGCTTGGTTTCTTGTCATGCATATACTCTCCAGATCTGTCAGGATCTGCACCTGAACATGAAGTTGATGTTCTTTTTAGAGTACATTGTGATGTGGTTTATATTTAGTCCAAGTCATCCTCAGTGTGTAATAGTACTTGTGTGTGTGCTGCAAAGACATGAGTTTAATGGGGATTTTAGTAAAGGGAGAATAGTGAAAAAGTACTACTGATGTGAACTCATGACCTTCTTCTTTCTTCAGTGGTGGGCTGTTTTGTTTTTGTTTTTCTTGTATCTATAGTAGTGATCTACAGAAAGTCTAGTGCAGGTATTCTGGCAGAGTGCAACCTAGACAGCTTCCAGAGTCTTAAGTCTTCTGTGTCTTTTTTTTGTAGTAATCTCATCTCCAGTTCCATATGGAAGAAGCAGGCTGCTGTTTTGTATCCTGTCTTCTATACAAAATATGTTCTGTTCACATGCTGTCCTAGTGCTCTTTGTGTATTTCCTGTCCCCTAGCTGTCAGCTGGGCAAGGAATGGCAGTCAATGTGACTGCAGGACCTGCTTAAATCTAAATGCTTATGTGTGGGCAGGTTCACCACAGAATAAAGCTGATGACATAGTAGTTGAAATCATTCCCTTAATAGGAATAATTTTGAGGATCTCTTCACTAGCCATTTTCTAGACAGATAATGATTGCTTTGAAACAGGAAAGAACTTAATGACTTGTAGTCCCTTTGCATCTCTTCTTGTATACTGCAAGAATTACTAATTTTTTGGAGGAACACTTGTGATTTCTTAGGAGCTGAAAAGATTATTCTTGTTCATATTTGTGTGGTCTTCTGCTGAATTTTTCGTAAACTATTGTGTGTCAATGCATCTGAAATTATAGGTATTATGGCACAGATCTTACTTCTTTTCCACTC